AAAAAAATCACGAACAACTGATTAGATCATGGGTTTCGTCAAGAAAAATAGTCATAGTGCACTATCTAACGATAATCAATATAAAATACATGTTGTTAAGAATGTCGGTAGGTAGGAAGCCGAGTATCGTCATGATTAGAATTCTACGATTAATTTGCTTTGAGACGAGGATTCCTATATAATCTTACTTAGGTCCAAATCTAAGTAAATTACGCAAGAAATTCGATTATCTCTTGTGCATCTATTGGCAAAATGCGTTCTAAGGTATCAGAAAATCCCAAGGGAGATTGTAAAAGTGTTATTCTTGGCAATGCATTTAATTCAGTGTTGGATACTAATGATACGACAGGATGCAACAGCTCACTATGCTAATTTCGAATTTGAAATGACAAAATCAAACATGTAAAATTCTTTAAATATCTGGTTAATGTTTTAAAAGTTGGCGGGAAAAGTGACACTGAAATATGTAGCTGCATTGGAATAGCGAAGAATACCAAAAATCTAAACAAACTGTTAAAAAATAACTTTTGTTAGTAATAAAGAAAAGGTTTCTTAACTACAATGTCATATCAATTCTTCTCTATGGCTGTGAATAATGGACAATTTGCCCGTCCTGGTTAAAACGATAAACTACATCCAACAAATAGTTAACCTCCAAATTGAGATGAAAACTCTATGAGAGTGTAAAAATAGGTTTTAGTACCAGCTATACATTCTTGTAAAAAAAAAAATATTACCAGCAATTAATTTTTAAAGGAAAAATATTACCAGCAATACCTTTTTTGAGAAAAATATTACCAGCAATAAAAATCTTGGCATTAAATAACCCATTGAGGTTGATATGCCGTCAAATAAACCAAAGCAAACAGACAATTTGCTCACAGATGAAGAGGAGACTTGAGGTGCCAAAAATGTAGTTCTACAGAAGGATGCTGAGAATGCAATGGACAAAGGATGTAAACAACGACTAAATATTAAAGAAAATGGAAACAAATGGGACAATCATGCATAAAATAAAAAAAATTCAAATTCATAATGAAGAAAGAGGGATTGGAGAATTTGACACTCACAAGGCACTCAAAAGTAAAAGAGACAGAGGAAAACATCGAGGGACCTTCGTAACAAGCTTGTGTAAATGGATAACAAAGTATGGAGGGGAGTATAATAAAAAGATAAACATTTCTAAGAGATACGAAATATAGGAATATGTGAAGAGCCATGATCGCCATGCCCTGAAGAGACACGGCACATAGAGAAAATGAAACATTATACGGTAAGTATTCATATCGAAATTTAGCACATCAGGTTAATTATATATTGATTGGCCCTTTAAAAACTACGGACAAAAAATAGAAAGAGTAGCTCGAAAAAAATAAAAAGAAATAAGCGACTATAAGGACCGTCTTAGTGAACCCTGCAAAAATTAAATACGTTATGGGAGACGTTAATAAGTAAAAGGACGTGACAGCAAGGCCTCAACAGCAGCAGCATTAAGAAAAGAAAAGCCGCGGTAAATTCAGTCAAGCGTGACAAGCAGTTCCGGCAGCAGCAGATTAAATTTAAGACTTCAAGTTCTACATTCAGACAATAGCCTCATTCGTGAATTTGGTGAGTTCAATCCCTGGACCGGGTAGTGCAGAGTTAAACACAGTGGAAATGGTGTGAGTAATAACGGAATAGTACTAAATAATAATACGGCAAGATATCAGGGTAGCCGAACTAGAGCAATATACTCACGTAGATTAAATAAAGGGTTTACTTCGAAATTCCCTGAATGTTACCCAGATCGACAAACACCTGATGAAGGTTGAACAGCACAATGACCGAAACGTTGTGAATGTAACAATATTAAAACTCGATTATTTTCTGCTTTTCATTATTTATATATTTTTAAAATGTGGCGGTAACTTGAATGTTTTGAAAGTGCGCAGCTGCTTATAAAGGGATTTTTAGTACATACAATTTTTTTTTTTTTATATATATTTGAGCTAGCTCGGACATTTATTAGTCTATAACGCCAACCATCACGCTCCTGCATTAAGATCTGAAAGCCATTAGGGAGTCATTCTGTGTCATAACAAAGCTGGTCAATGTAGATGGTTGTTCGGCGACCAATTCGTCTCGCTCCATGGCTAGGTGACCAGAGCAGTAGATCACTCAGGAGTTCTTGTTTCGCTCGTCAGAAGTGATAAAAATATAAGATATACATTTATTTATCTACTTTATTTTTACTAATCTTTTACTTAATAAGAGCCACTCAGCGTAGAGACTTACAGAATGAGATTTTTATATGAATGTAAGAAGAAGTAAGTAACACAGTTTATGAGGATATGTAGGAGTTTAACCCTATACTTGAAGAGTTTACGATCGTAGTGATCGGGGAAGCATCCTCTCGGGAGTCTCTTTCATAAAGTAACGGTTCTTGGAGAGAAGCTGTCCGAATAAAACGTCTTTTCTTTATAGTGAAATAATAAATGAATTAATTGTCCCGGTGTATGTGACATGGTGGGTTCTGGCAGTAAAAGTCTGAACTTGTGTAACGAAGGAATGTAGTTCGTCGGTACCTTTTCCATGGAAATAAAGATAGAGTAGCGACAGACATGCAACGTTTCGTCTGTGGAAAAGAGGCTGTGGGCTGGGAAATACGTCCAAGTACCATCGGTAAACAAACAACAAGAACTGAAGAGAATGGTCAATTTCTATCAGACTAACTTGATAATTATGCCTATGGGTCACGTGTTGTATCTTAATTGTCCATAAGTCAGGCAAACGATTGATCAGGAAAACCTGTATGTTGCGTATTCAGTCGTTCATTTTATCGTAAAACTAAATGCTTAAACTATTTAACCCATTGTTTCATAGCGTCCAATTTTTCAGAGAGAGGGTTTACCTAAATTCAAAACCACGACAGCTCTCGGTTTACCATTAGTCAGCAAAGTGGTTTAGATTCAATTTTAAGGAAACTTTATGCAGTAATAGGTTTATTTTGTAGCTTTTCTTCTTCTTCTTCTTCTTCTTCTTCTTATCATTATTATTATTATTATTATCCTTTGATTTTAGGTATGTACTCATTTCTTTCCGGATCCCGACCAGAGACCTAAGGTCGGAAATAACGTCATGACATTTTCTGATAAGCAATTAAACAAAAAAAAAACATATTTTACATAGATAAAGCCCTTCGTAAGGTGTGGGCTGTACTCGTGAGAACAATTTTTTGTATTTCTTTATGGCATGGGCTTCCAGGAATCCCTTCAATGAGTCAACTAGAATCTTTTTTATTCGCACCGAGGACTCCAACTACAACTGGAATTGTTAATGTTCTCATGCGCCACATTTTTGAGATTTCGATTTCATGGTCCTTGTATTTTGATAGCTTTTTGAAAATAATCAAAGATACATTGCCATATCAATAAAGAGGCATTTTTTTTTTTTTTTGCGGTCTCTGATAACGATGTCTGGGCGATTACCTTTGATTGTTCTGCCTGTCTGTATTGTGTAGTCGCATAAAATTGTTACAGGTCTTATTATTATTTTTCGATGAATATTATTGTATGTGATTGGGCTCCAAATTGATTCCTACGTATTTAGTAGATAGGGTGATATATTCGTCTTTACAATTGGTTTCCAAAATAGAAAATTACTTTTAAATCAGCCTAATAGAAAAGTTGTACACAGAAATTTATATCCGTATCATCAGCCATTTTGTTTTTTCAGTCTTATACATGAATTATTGGAGCCAAAATCTGCGCTCTCTGTATATGCCGTCAAGTGATAGTAAAAACTAACTTCATTCAAAAAATCGTTTGTTATTGGATTTTAACATGTTTCTCAAAAGCATGCATTTTCCAAATGAATGTAATACTGTTTGATTCAAACGTTGAAGATGGAAAAAATAAGCACCCTCTTCTTCATTTAACCAATTACCAAATCTAGTCCTCTCAGTCAGTGTGTGTTTATCTAAAAATAAATACGCTAAAATTCACTTTCGTCTTTGCCGTGCGCCAGTTCAGCCGGGTTTCGATCCTAGCTAGAGGCAATCGGACGTCTAGCCATACTGAAGAGATGCGAAACAGCCTGTCTATTGATGACTATATTTATATTAAATTCCTTGATAATAATTTTTATTTTAGAAACGCTAACCTATTGCAAAAAATTATCACAAACTAATACGGAAATAATACCTGGAAGGAATATTATTAATAAATAATCAATAAATCCCCACCAAATACACTTATTCATATATTCATATCACCAATATTTAAAAAAGTTGAATATAAAATGCAAATATTTACAGAGAATCTAAACGAGTATTACACATTCACTTACGACATTCCTTAAATTTAACAAATAATTCAAATATACAAATGAACCCATTTTAATCTTATTTTACCATTGTTCACACAATATAAGACTCAATAGCCACTCAAAGTAGAGACTTACTGAATGAGGTTATTGTATGGACGTAAGAGGAGAAAATAAGTAGATCAGATTATGAGGATATATAGGATAAATAAAAATTCACTCTAGACTCGAAGATGTTGAAATTGTAGGAAATATCCTCTCGGAAGTCTGTCTAACTGAAGAAGCAGTTCTTTGAAAGAACATATCCGAGCGGCACTTCCTCCTTATTAATGTAATACGGAAGGAAAAGGACATCTGCCCTGGCGGGGTTTAGCTGTAAGATCTAAACTGGTGGAACTAATTTCTGTTTTTTTAATCGATATCGCCCCAAGCAAGGCATTACAGCCACTAGCACGCAAAGGATTACAGGGGGTGGAGGAATTAGGAACAGAAACATTAGTAATAAGTAGAAAGAGAAAAGAATAATCAGAAGGACAGTAGATAGCGATTGACATCTTTATAATACTAAAACTCTGTTTGCTTGCTTGCATGTTTGCCACCGTGTACCGGAAGTCATGTATAGAGAGTGGGTTAAAGAAAGATGTAAATTTATTATCATACAGAAAGATGGGAGAGAAGGAAATCGTGTGAATTGGCAGTGAAACCAAAAAAAAGCTCTCTGTTTCCACCTCTCTCTCTCTCTCTCTCTCTCTCTCTTTCAACCTCTCTCTTTCCAATTCTTACTCTTTCCAACTCTCTCTTTCCATCTCTCTTTCTATCTACCTTTCTCTCTTTCTCTCTTTCCACCTCTCCCTCTTTCCACCGTTTCCTCTTTCCAACTCTCTGTCTTTCTACCTCTCTGTCTTTTTCCTCTCTCAACCCACCTGTCTCTTTCCACCGCTCCCTCTTTCCACCTCTCCCTCTTTCCACCTCTCTCTTTTCACCTCTGTCTTTCTACCTCTCTCTTTCCACCTCTCACTCTTTCCACCTATTCCTCTTTCCACCTCTCTCTTTTCACCTCTATGTCTTTCCACCTCTCTCTTTCCACCTCTCCCTCTTTCCACCTCTCTGTGATTGCGTGCATGCTTATTTATCTTTCAGCTTTCTTTAAGAAAAAACAATATTTTAAATATTTAAAAAATATATTTTTGTCAAGTGAATATGATTTAAAAATATCTTTTGGCATATTAAAAAATATTTTTAAGTTAGTCTGATTTTAAAATATTTTAAGTGAATAAGATTTAAAAATGCGAATTGTTTATACAGTAAGTATTTTTATTTCAACTTTCTTCAAACACAATTTTTTAATGTTGAAATCAACTTCAATGTTTTATAAACTGAAGCGTCAACAACCAAACGGTTCACCGCTAGTCTAGTTTCATTTAAATTCTTGCAGATTAAAGTCGGTTGGAAAACATGGAGCCGGAAGAGATTTCCACAAGCTAGAAGTACGAGAAAAGAAACTGTCAGCACAGAAGTTACGGTTGCATCTAGCTAGCTAAACTGTAAATCGATGAGAACTGGACGCCAGACTCGTACTGTGCTTAATTCCATAAAGTGTAGGTACCATAGCGAAGAGTTCATATGAACAATTACCATGGAAGTACTTATAAAAGGTCACAGAGAGGCACCCTTACAGCCGGGGGCAAGTGACTGAAACCGAATCGCCAGATCAGGACCAATAATGTCGCTGATTCTTCTTCCAAGGAGCTCCAGATAAATAACGGGACCATCGGACCATATATGGCAGCAATATTCAAAGAATGGACCAATGGTAGATGTATCGATATGCAAGATAGATTCCGGAGAGAAAAATTGTCTTGCACGACACAGTGAACCGATTTCTTGGCAGCTGACCTAGCGATGGATTCAGTATAGTCTTTTCATTTCATGTCAACTGAGAACGTTAGCCCGAGAAGGCACAATGAGTCACTTTTCTGGAGGATAGCATCAGCCATCCAAATGGAAAGCAGAGAGGGGTCTTTCAGATGATTAATGGAGAGAAGTTTATTTTTAGGGGCGTTAAAATTGACAAGCCATTTTTTGCCCCAGTTAACGAGTGTCTTGAGGTCATTTTGTACATCAAGTGTTATTTTGACCTTGTCGGACTGATTAGCCTGACGATAGACGCAGGAGTAAATGGTAGTGTCGCCAGCATAAATGCCAAATTGGGAGCTGATGTCATCGGGAAGGTCGTTAATGAAGATTAAGAACATCATGGGACAAATGATGGAGTCCTGGGGGATACCCGCGTTAGTACGAAAAGATGTAGATGAGTAGCCGTATAGGCTCACTTTCATTACATGATATGATAAGAATGACTGGATCAGCTCAAAGATGTGCCCGAAAATGCCGTAACTTTTCAGTTTGTGGAGAAAACCTGAATGCCAGACCCTATCAAAGGATTTCAAGATGTCTAATGCTACAGCCCTGGTTTCACCGTTTTTATCTCGAGCATGACAGACACTTTCAACAAATATCGCCAATACCAGTATATATTTCTGAGATAAAGTATACACATTATTTACATTATTCGGACTATTGTTCTCATCTTTGTCGCCATATTTATTACAACGTTTCGGCCTTTCAGTATCTGTCTATATTTCTGAGATGAGGTATTATGCACACTATTTACATTATTCGTGCTCATCTTTGTCGCCATATTTATTACAACATTTCGGCCGTTGTACGCTCCGGCGTTCTTCAGGTTTGTTGGAATGTCGAACTGAACCCTTTATTTCACTCACTGAGGTAGACTTTTCTAGTTCCACGTGCCATGTTTAATGGATGTCAGTTATCTCTTGTGAATTTCCCTCTGAAAGTTCTCCACTACCTTAACCGAGTATTGAACTCACACTCTTTGGGTCCTGTCATTGAATCCAACCAACGCCTTTATCCACTGTGCCATGTGTCCTCAAAACTCTCCTGAGCCGACCAAGCATAGAAATGAATACAATATGGCAACCAGTAATAATGAGTGCCAGAGAAAAGCGATAATAACAACAAAAGTTGCAATATGAGGTCTGGTAAAAACATGAATGATAACAGCAAAAATTGCAATAATAAATGGCACTAGTAAAAATGGTTTCTGAGACATTAGGTTTATAATACCCAGAAATTCATACACAGATGTCCCCTCTCTCTCTCTCTCTCTCTCTCTCTCTCTCTCTCTCTCTCTATTTCTCTCTCTCTCTATTTCTCTCTCTTTTGTGCTATGCGTGATACACGCTTAGGCAATCATGTATCTTTCGAGTGCGTTTATGTTGAAATGAATGTGCTTCACTATTTACATTATTCCGGCTATTGTCCTCATCTTTGTCACCACATTTATTTCAACGTTTCGGCCGTTGTACGCTCCGGCCTTCTTTGGGTGGTTGGAATAGCGAAAAAGAAGAGGAATATAGTCCGAATAATGTAAATAGGGTACATAATACCTCATCTCAGAAATATAGACAGATACGTTTAGAATGTTTCAGCCATGTATTGTGATGAACATTAAAGTCACCGAAGACAATGTTTTTCCAGATAGATGGAGAGAAAGTGTCTTTTCTGTACTGCCAGCTATTCGTTTAATATACTTCAATCTTGGGAAGTGGGGGAGCGATAAAGAAAAAAGAGATAGCTTACAGAGTTTAGTAGCGAAATATGAAAGAGTAGTCAGCGGCCTCGAGAGACAATACCCTGGCTATCGGAAGATTATCTCTGATGTAAACATGCATATGAATGGTGGAATGTTTTTGGAAAAGGAGAAGATACCTTGGAACCAAGAATTTTTGGTGGAATTGGAACAATTCAGGGTGGTTTCATAAAGGGTAAAGATATCTAGCGACCTTTCCAGAAGAAAAGATTTTACGCTGCAAAAGTTGGAACGGATACCACGAATAGTTGAAAAAGAAAGATTGATGGGGTGGGTGTTATTTTGTCTTTGTTTTTGTTTCCTTGGTGGAGTGGGGTGTTAATTGGTTTCTTTTTTAAGTATTTTTATGTTTGGAGGAGAGGGAAAAAGACCAGCATAATTGTCATTATCTGTCGTCAATTGCAATACAAACCAGCCAGTGTGTGGCCAAGAACAGAGCATAATGTGGCCTCAGGGTGGCCCAACAGAAATACATGCTGGAACACCTACCCATGAGCGATATGTTAATACAAATACCTCGATATTATACGACTGTTAATCGGAGCTTCCTCTCTAAGCTCTACTAAACAGTTCGGGCTCCTAACGACCAGTCGAAACAGCAGCCAACAAACTTCCAACCTGGTACCCACTTGTGAGCCTCGCAAGACAAAGAAAGAAAGGGAACTGGTAAATCACCTCCTGAACAGGAAATAATGGATGAACCTCTACTAATGTTCTACAGACATCGAAGTTGTGGACCAGACGATAGGTGAGTTTATCTATTCCTATTAACCTGTACAAAAATATTGCGAAAGAATTCATATTAAGTTCATATATATATATATATATATATATATAGTAAACACAATCCTTAAAAATCCTTTTCGGTTATTCGGTTATAAAGATGGTGTTATATTGCTCTGTTCTCACATTGAGCTCTCTATGGAATAATGTCCTCCTTGGAATCATCCCCATTAATCATCAATTGATATTATATATAGCCGCTGGCGTATTTCGTATTGAGAAAAACGTTAAAATTCCCTGATGTGCAATGATGGCCTAAATGTCAGATCAGTCGAGTTTCGATCCCGGCTTGAAGCAATCGGATATCTAGCCATATTGAGGAGCTCTGATACGGCGAAACAGTCTGTCTGTGAATGACTATATATATGCTCCCGGAAATCCGGTTGTGCTCTATAGGGAAAGGAGGTTAAAAAAAAAAAAAACAGTGGTTCTTACTGCTATTAAGCATTACCATTCAAGTAAATTGAATTGAGTTTCGCCTATTTCGCAGTCTGTCTGTGGATGACAATATATATATATATATAATTTAACAAATCAAATTAAAATCCCGTTTAAACCCTTCTGGTTGGGATGAACTATACAGTTTGATAATAAATAGCAATGTAGAGAACAATATACACGGAATATTAGATTCAAAATCAACAATAAGTAAAAAGATAAATAAGTATGAAATTCAAAATCAAATAATTAAAAGAATCATTAATACTTGACATTTCAACATTTAAAACATCAAAATAACATAAAGTACTATACCTTACTAACACTGCTTCATTCCAAATTCAGAATCTGATTTTCCTTTTTTGTCGGGAGACGGGACAGGCAGACTTTATTCTCAATGGTTATTTGAAGAAAATTATAGGCGACATAAAATGGTCTCGGATTTACACGGCCAAAGTCTCTCGCTACAGATGAGTGGTGGAGCGGGTAGGAGGTGGGTGGGGTGGGATGGTGTGGGTGTGGTGGTTGCTACAGTATAGAGGGGTTTGCGACATTTCGTTTTCTTGTTCTTTTAATCCATATATAAATCTAGGTTGGGGCAATTCGAGGCGGTGTAAAGGTTAACAAGCTTGTGTCGCTAGAACAATTACGACTGAGTAGTGAGTTCGGTCCTCACTGGGTGCTCCATACTTTCGGCCTTTTGCCACATCTAAGCTAGGCTTAGAAAATCATTTAGGGCACCTCAGCGTGGTGTAATGGTTAGCAAGCTTGTTTCGCTAGAACAATTACGACCGTGTAGTGAAATCGATCGTTACTGGGTGCCCCATACTTTCGGCCTTGTACCACATCTAAGCTAGACTTAGAAAATAGCCATTACACTCTGGGTTACTTTGACGTGGTGTTGTAGTTAGCAAGCTTGTCTTGCTAGATCAGTTACAACTGAAAAGTAAGTTCGATCCTCACTAGGTGCCACAAACTTTCGGCCTGGGGCCACATCTAAGCTATGCTTAGAAAATTGGTTGACTTGCCCGAACAGCACCAACAACTTGTTAACCAAGCTACTAGTTAACGCTTTAAGCCAAAGTGACAAAATAGTTTCCATTGTTTTTGTAACTCGAGTCCCTGTTACTCGTTCTTCCAACATTTTAAAGACGTTAGAATTTCAAGAATTAAACATAGAGATGTTGACGCCTACACAACCAACATCGAATTTAAG